GTGAAGCAAATCAAACTGTAGAACCTGTTCCTGTCACAGAACTCTGGTCCTGTGGCCCACCAAGAAACAACCCCCAACCTCTCAAGCAATATTGCTCCTACAGGGCTTCGCAATTGTTGTATTGTCTTCCGCTTGGGGGCTTGTCATGGGAAACTGCTCAAGCCGTGGAAATGATTGTCATCCACCCTCCCCTTTCCCTTCCCACTTGCGATTTATGTATACAATCTGTGTGTTCACTTCAGCAAGGTGGAATTCTGATCAGGAGAATTTCCGGTTTGCATATCTGTTCCTCATAACAAAACTAATTAATTAAATGGCTACCTAAATACTGGCACTCTGTCTCTGGCCTGCTGTTTCGCCATTCTCAGGTTAAAGACTGGCTCTGTAAAATCCCGTTAACAAAAGCAACCACAGAAGGAAAGATAGGGTATTAATTTGATTCAGGAAGAGGAGCTTGTCAGAAGTTGGGACTAGAGAGTTCAGAGGGGGAATATGTTTCATTTTCTTGCACATGATTTTCTGCTTTTAATCAGGAGGAAGAAAGCTGGGCAGAAAGCGATGAAGATGATGACTCAAAGGACCAAGCCCTTCCCAAAGACCCAGAGACCTGTTTACAGTTGAACATGGTATATCAGGAAGTCCTTCAGGAGAAAATAGCAGAAATTGACTTACTGCTGGCTCAGAATAAACAGCAACAGGTATGGCTGCTGTTGATGGGTGGATATATTCTTGACTTTGCAGATAGTTTTAAACCAAGTGAAACCTTCTCCAGTCTTTTCCATACTTACCAATGCAGTTGTATCTGATGGTACCAGTCATGTGACTTAAAAAAGATCTCTGCATGCCAGTGATGCCCAGCACTGTCCAATCTCGATCTGTTTCCCAAGCTTCAATCCTGTATTACCAGTTAGTTGTCTATTGGTTTTTTTTTTAAACTATATGTGCAAAACAGAACTTATTACCTTTCTGCCCAAACCCACTTATCTTTTAGACTTTCTGTCAAAGGCATCACCATTTTTCCCTTTCCCCAGTTCATAATCTTGATGTTTTCTTTGATTCCTCACATCCAGTTAGGTATCATCTTGCTGTTTCTGCTTCTGTGACATGTTTCAGTTCTCACCCCTTCTCTATACCCATACAGTTACCACCTTAGTTTAGACTCTTATTACCTCTTGCCTAGGTTATCGTAACTGCCTCCTAATTGGTCACCTTGCTTCATGTCTCTCCCTGTTTCAGTTCATCTTTCTCACTACTGCCAAAATGATTTTCTGACCATATCTCTCCCTTGCTCAATAAATTCCAGTGGCTTCCTATTTCCTCTAGGATCAACTGTAAACTCCTCTATTAAAGCCCTTCACAACTTGGCCTTATGATCATCATACCATTATATCCAGCCTTGTTATATCCACTCTGCAATCCAGCCAAAATGGCCTTTCTGTCCTTCACACTGTCCCATCTCCTGTCTTCATTCCTGGAATGCAACTACCTCATTACCACTACCATGTTGAATCCTTCTCTTCAAAGCTCAGATCAAGCATCATCTTCTAACTAAGCCTTTTTTATTTATCTCCTCAACTCTAGTGCTGCCCTCCCTCCCAAACCACCTTGTATTGAGCTACTTTGTATTTATTTGTATTCAGTCGCCTTATATTTATTTCCTGGATACTTATTTATATAATTGTCATCTCCCCTGTTAGAATGTAAGCTCCTGAAGAGCAGGAATTGTTTCATTGTATTTGTATCCCCGGTACCTGGCATGGAGTAAATGCTAAATAAATACTGATTGAATTTCTTTTAGGTCCCAAGAGCAGTTTTGATTGGTCCCAATGATTTCATATTAACTACTTTGAGTAATTTCCATCTATGTCTATGTCACAGGAAGAAGTCATGTGGGATCTGGCTGGTTCTAAAACTCCAAAGACCAAAGATGGAAAGAGCCTCCCTTCAAATGTTTTTGTGGGTCATTTTATGAAACCGTACTTCAAGGATAAAGTCACAGGAATTGTGAGTGACTTGTGCCTCTTGTGTGGCTGTGAAAAGAATATGGATTTTGTAAATTCTTTCTTTTAATATCACTGTTTTATGTGGATATCCTTTCATTCGTTTCTGTTAATGAGCGTGTTGAAATTCAGTGTAACTCTTCATCTCACCTTAAAAATGTTATACGTATGTGTTTTAAGTCACCTTGAAGTAGCCAAGTCTTCCTAATGTTAATGCAACTTTAGAACCTACTGTGTGTGAATAACTTGCCTAGATCTTGTTCCTGCTAGAAAATTCAATCACGGTGGTGAGTGGGTTGTCTGGAGTCTGGGAATTTTAGTAACCTGGAGTCAGTATTTTCATTAAAAAAGACAAACCACAACTTAGTTGGGCTATGTGGGGATGGTTTAGCTAATCCAATCCAAATGCTCTGTGTTACTTAGGTGAGGCTAAATAGTGGAGGTACCGCCAATGGCTAGGGAAAGTTAAACTGTATGTTTGCTTTTAAGAAAAGCAGTTACTGTTATCTCCTATGACATTCCAAATGAAGGGAAACTGACTATTAGCTTGGGATCCTGAGATGTGCCTGTGTTGAATCCTTAGGTTAGCACTGACCTCCACTATATTTTTCATCAGGGACCTCCAGCCAATGAAGATACTCGGGAAAAGGCAACACAGGGCATCAAGTCTTTTGAAGAACTGATTGTGACCAAATGTAAGAGCTTGGGGTTACTTGGGGACTGAACTGAGCTTAACTTTTACTTTCACCAATAGACCAATACTGCTAGTTCTCTTCCCTGAAGTTTTTCTTTGGAGCTTTGGCTCAAGCTGATTGGTGATGTAACCCTCACAGGAGACCACTGCAGTTGTAGACATACTTTTACTTGTAGCTGTGCAGGTACTCTTGGCCCAGTCACATTTTTGTTGTTCTGTTCAGTTGTTTTCAGTCGTGTCCAACTCTTCAGACCCCATTTGGGGTTTTCTTGGCAAAGATATTGGAGTGGTTTGCCATTTCCTTCTCCAGCTCATTTTACAGATGAGGAAACTGAGGCAAACAGGGTTAAGTGACTTGCCCAGGGTCACACAGCTGATAAGTGTCTGAGACCAGATTTGAACTGGGTAAGTCTTCTGCCTTTAGGCCTAGCATTCTATCTACTGCACCACCTAGCTGCCCAGTCACATTTTTTACTAACCTCTATAATTACTGAAGTCCTTGTGATAATGGATTTGTGGTAGGACCTGGGAGAAATAAAGTAGTGTGGTGCTAGTATTATTCCTGCTTTCTCCTTTTATTTTCAGTTAGTCTCTTCCTGCTTTGGTGAGGGAAATTTATACTTCAAGAAAGCATAATTTGTTGAGACTGGCCTCATGCTATAAATGGTAAAGAGCTGGGGTGGGACCTCCTCACCTTTTTCAAAGTCATTGCCCAAACACATAATACTTGTGGTTTTTTTTTTCCCCCAGGGAAAACTTGGGAAAAGACTTTACTTAGGAAGTCAGTGATGAGTGACCATCTGCAACGTTTGCTGCAGCCCAAATTGTTAAAGTAAGATGTTTATGTGTTTGTTTAGTTTCCAGCTAATATTGGATTACCTAGTCTAATTTACCTTATCTCTTCCCTTTGCTGGTCTCTAAAGGACACAGGGAAATTTTTGATTATCTGATTCATACTTCTTGTCCCATAGTGGTTTTGGATGACTTGATATAACTACTCTTTTGAAGAAATGTTTGTGATCAGTGTAAATATGGGAAATTGGTTAAGTGTTAGATAAGTGTAGTGCTTGGGAAAAGAGAAAAATCTCATGTGTCACACCATAAACTCATACTCTGTAAAGGCCATGTTTTTAACTAGCTGAGATGACTAGCTTGGTTCTTTGGTCCTGTGCACACAGACCTAGCCAACTATTAAAGACTATATGTTCTGTAGCATTTGAGCAATTGTTAGAAGTGTAAGTTTTTACTCTATGCAATGCTTTATTCAACGTTTGGGATCAGAAAAATAAAATGATGGATAGATGTCTTTTCAGTCTAATTTGGAAGTTGGAGTCCAAGTTAGAAGACTGACATCCTAGCTTCAGTCAAAAGTTAACTGTTGAAATATGGTAGTGGAGAGGACTTAGTTCTGGCATCTCTTACTTGTTTTGAATTGAAAATTATAGTTTACTTCACTAAGCAGCTGCAGATTTTCAAAAAGTAGCCCTCTCACTACCCTGACCTGGAAGGACTCTATGACCTTGTTTAATCATTGGGACACAGAGGCTAGTGGATGTAGGGGAGGCCATTCCTGCTTCAGATATGTATTAGACTAGATTAATGGTTCTCAGACTTTTTAGTCTAAGGACCCTTTAATCTTTTAAAAATATTGAAGACCTTAAAGAGCTTTCATTTATGTGTTTTATCTATCATAGCTACCATATTAGAAATTGAAACTCACAAATTTTTAAAATAGTTAATTCATCTAAAAATAACAATAATAAATCCATTACATGTTGACATAAATAATATTTTTTGTATAAAAAAACTGGTTTCCAAAACTGAAAAAATTTAATGAAAAGAGTAGTATTGTTTTACATATTTTTACAAATCTCTCTAATATCTGGCATAACAGAAGACAGCTAGATTTAGCATATCTGCTTTTGCATTCAGTCTTTTACAGTATGTTGTTTTGATTGAAGTATCTGAAGAAAATCTGGCCTCACACAGATATGTATTAGAAAAAGGAGGCGTATTTTAATCAGCAAATAACATCTTAGTATTACTATGAAAATAGTTTTGACCTCACAAGCCTCCTGAAAATGTCTTGGGGACCATACTTTGGGAACACTTGGACTAGATGGTGTGTGAGATCCCTTCCAACTTGGAGATCACATGATTCCACAAAGCACCACCAGAGAGGTTACAACATAGCTTGCCAACTCCTTCATTTTAATCCCACTTCATCATATTGTCTACTTCTTCAACAGGCTTGAATACTTAAATCAAAAACTTGAAAAAGTCAGTAATTCAATGGAGAAGCAGATCTTGGAGAAGCAAATAAAGAACACGGAGAAGGAAATCGAGGACATCAAGTGAGATGAAACTTTACTCTGCCTTAATTTCTTTACCTGTAAATAGTAATAGATATGCCAGAATTAATAGTGTTGCTTTTGTCCCCTGTTCTAGTCAGCTACCAGAAGAGTCTTTGTTGGGGGATAGACTGGATGAGCGAGATTGGGAGAAGATCTCCAACATTAATGTGAGTAGATATGATGTAATTTAAGCCACCCCAGGTTAAAAAATAGCACTGTGTCATGGAGAACTAGGGAAATTTGGCAGTGTTGCTATTGGTGGATTCAGACTGTGAAAATATGCTGTCTTATTTGCATATGTGAAAGTCCTGACCCAGTGTCACTAGAATATGAGCTTTTAATTTTGTCTTCAATAGTGGGGATGACATCTTCCCTTGCCTAGTATCTCTTTTTTTTTTTTTAATTATTTTCATTTCGGGGGCAACTAGGTAGCACAGTGAATAGAGAACCAACGCTGGAGTCAGAAGGACCTGAGTTCAAATCTGGCCTCAGACACTTGAGGCTTACTAGCTGTGTGACCCTGGGCAAGTCACTTAACCCCAATTGCCTCCACCCCCCCCAAAAGAAAAAATCATTTCATTAAATATTTCCCTATTACATGTAAAAAAAAAATTTAATTTTGTTTTTGAGTTCCAAATTTTCTCTCTTCCAACCTTCCCTCCTCCTTGAGAAGGCAAACAGTTTGATTTTGATTATACATGTGAGGTCATGCAAAACATTTTCATATTGAGTCATTTTTCAGTCATGTCTAACTCTTTGGAGAACCCCATTTGGGTTTTTCTTGGCAAAGATACTGGAGTGTTTTGCCACTTCCTTCTCTAGCTCATTTTACAGATGAAGAACTGAATAAACAGGGTTAAGTGACTTGCTCAGGGTCACAGAGCAAGTAAGTGTTTGAGGCCAGATTTGAACTCAGGAAGATGAGTCTTATTATGAATATGTATATATATTTTCCCTTTTAGAACCAATTTAGTTGTGAGTGAGGTTCAAGCATTGCCTGCACCTTTTCCTTCCCATTTTCCCTTACACTATATGTTTTCCCTTACTCTCTTCCTTTTGTGCTTCTTTTGTATGAGGTAATTTTCCCATTCTTTTTCTTCCTTTCCCCTCCAGGGGCATCCCTCTTTCTTTCTTATCCAATTTTTTCTCACATCATCTCAACATAATTAGACTCCCATACCTTCTTTCTATATAGAATCATTCTAACTGCGCTAATAATGATAAAAGTCTTAGAAGATACATGTATCATCTTCTCCTATAGAATGGCATACATTTTAACTGTATTGAGTACCTTATGATTCTCTTTCATGTTTACCTTTTTATGCTTTGAAGGTCAAATTTTCTCTTTAGTTCTGGCCTTTTGCCTAGTCTGTTTCTTGACCCATAACGTACATTTATTAAATAACTATATAGAACCACATTTTCTGTCTGTGTTATTGGAATGAAACCTAGATTTTTCTCTGTGCTGAACTAAACAATTTATAGTGATTAACTCTGCAACAGACACCTGCTTTATTACTACCATGCAGAAGACTGCTATTGAAGTCCTCTGAAAAACGAAAACCATGTCTATATTAACCCTCTTTGTATTATTCCAAGTACCATGTGCACAAGTGTTAATGGCATAAAAATTAATTTGGCCATGTTTTGTTTTGGTGAAGTTTGAAGGCAGCCGAAGTGCTGATGAGATTAGGAAGTTCTGGCAGAACTGTGAACACCCAAGCATCAACAAGCAAGCATGGGTTGAGGAAGAGACCAAGCGTCTGAAAGAGATTGCAGCGAAGTACAATTATTTGGAGTGGCAGAAGATTGCAGCAGAGCTGGGGGTAAGGCTCTTGACATCGTGGTCCTAGCAGACTAGGCTGCCATTGTTACTTCTCTGGAGAATTAAGAGGGCTGGTCATTAGAGGGAAGGAAGCTTTCCACCATACTACTGACTTTCTACTGTATTGCTGACTTACTCTGTCTTCTAGGTTGCTAGGACAGGGACCTTCCATTGGAACAGAAAAATTTCCCCAAAGCTAGTGTGGTCATAAGAGGCAGTGCATATGGGGGCAGTGCATATGCTGTTCTCTTCACTATGGGAAATGTATAGGTCTTCTGCTCTCAGACACTGATGCAGGGCACAAGCCACTTTGCCCTTAGGGAAATTTTATACTCTTTATGTTTTTTCTTAAAACCAGAGGGTTTTTTTTTTAATTAACAAAAATAATTTTCTCTTACACCCTTCCCATCATTGGGGGAAAAACTCTTAATAACAAAATATTCATAGTTATGCAAAACAAATTCCCACATTTGCCGTGTGCAGTCAGTAAGTAAACTAGCATTTGTTAAGCACCTACCATGTGCCAGGCACTGTGCTAAATGCTGGGGATACAAAGAAAGGCCAAAACAAATTTTTTTAAAAAAATATCCAATATAAATATATCCAATATATCCAAAATATCCAATATAAATATATTAAATATTTTTTTAAATGTCTCATTTTGCACCCTGAGTCCATCACCTCTCTGGTGGAAAGTTAATAACACGGTTCATCATCAGTTCTCTACAATCGTGGTCATTGTATGATCATTTGTATTTATCTAGCTGTTTTCCAGTTGATGGGCATCACCTTAGTTTGTAATTCTTTGTTACTACAAAAAGAGCTACTTGTAAATAGTTTTGTAGATCTGAGCCCTTTTCCTCTTTCTTTGATCTCTATGGGATATACAGTGATATCAGTAGGTCAAAGGGTATTCACAGTTTATTTACTACTTGGGCATAATTTCAAATTGTTAAAGCCAGCATTGTGTTTTGAATGTGAGAAATGTCTTCAGCATGCTAGCTAGACTTCAGTGTTAGATGCTATCCATGCAAGCACAGGGCCATATCAACTTGGAAAGAATCCTTTGTCTTTGAATGATTTCTATAATACTATCTGAGGCCAGCCACCCTGCCTTAATTATTTCTTCTGTTCTTGAAATGCAATGGCCCAGGAAGGAGGAGCTCTCATTCAGTAAGGACAGAAAAAGAGTCAATGGCCTAAAATTGTACCAGGATGATTTAGGTTAAACATTAGGAAGATGTTTGTGCTAAGAATTGTGCAGAACACTAAATGCAACATCAGGGAAGGTTATAATGACTTTCTTACCTTAAAAATTTGTGATCTTCAGGGAATCACTCATTACAGGGTTAGAGCCGTGCGCTGCTCAGGGTTGTAGGAAAGAAAGAGCAAATACAAAGATCCAGCAGTCCTTTGGTTCCATGAAAGTTATTCTCTCATGTAGAAGTTCTCACTTTGGTCACCACAGCTATGGCCCTCAGGCAAAATGGAACTTAATATTTGTTATCTGTAGAAGAATATTTTTAAAAATTAAGATGAATGACTTCTGGTTCTGTACATCTATAAAATGAAGTAGTTGGAACAATTAACTTCTGTGTCTAACCTGAAACTGCCCAAATTGCTTGATCTTTTAAAAGCCTTTGCTAAGGGGTTGGGGGGAGGCTCATTTCCGCTTTGCAAACTTCCCTTTCTCCTTCTCAGCTCCTTAAATCCCTCTTTTCATGAGAAGAGATGGGTTTCTTCTGGCAAACTTTGACTCCAACAGTTTATATTTTTACTGTTAGAGGGCAGCCCACATATGTGGTTTGATTTAAGGGCAGTTTGGCTGTGGAATATTTAGCTGATGATTATGAACTAGTAGGTTTAAACTTACTGAGTAGTAGGAGTAATTTTTTTCTCTAGTAGTCAAGGGGTTGTCTACACTTAGAAGTGAAACACTTCCAGGTGGAGAGATAGTATTCATTTCATCTACAGTATTATTTTTCAGTCAGTCAGCAAGCATTTATTAGGCCAACTACTGGGAATACAGATACAAAAATGAGACAGCTCCTGCCCTCAAGAAACTTACAGTCTACTGCAGGGATACTACATGTTAACAGATAAGCAAACACAGAATATAAACACATATGTAAATATAGGAAATAAATACATATTGATTTTGGCAGGGGCTTGGAGGGTGAAACTGATGAGAATCAGTAAGGACCTCTTAAAGGGAGCTGGAGGTTCCAGGAGGTGAAAATGAGAACACATTCCCAGCCTGCACAGGCACTGATGCTGGAGATGATGGAATGTCATGTAAAGGAAACAGCAGTTAACCAGTTTGGTGAAAGCATAGAGTACTTGAGAGGCATGATACTGTGTGATCAGCCTGGAAGGGTAGAGACTGGAGCCAGACTGAGGAGGGCTGCAAATGCTGAACAGAGGAGTTTGTATTAAATATGTGGATATGTACAAGGTTCAAAGTGTTGTTAGGTAGTAGGAGTTAGTAAAAGCTTGCAGTAGGAAGAATAATAGCTCAGTATAAATGATTGAGTTATTAATTTCTGTTATTCAAAGAACTTAAGACAATCTATTTTCAACTCCTGACGTGGAGTTCTTGAGGAGTACTGAGTAGCGTACCTGTAAAAATTGCAACAAACTTAGATAAACACATTGTTCTTCTCTGGGTTAGGTGGTTTGCAAAAAAAAAAATATAGATGCCAGTAATATTAGACATTCCTTAAAAAATTCTTAAGATCTATGCAGAGGTATGTAGGGGCAGAAAAATGCTTTGCATTGAAGATTTGCTCCCTGAAAGGAAAGGCGTGCAGAAGTTAGGAAGTAATCAATTTTAAGGAAGCATCCTTACATTCATTTATCAGGTTTGTTAAAAAAAATAGTTCATTATAATTGCATTCTGGTGCTCACAGACTACAAAAATGGAAATTACAGCTGAACCAGAAAGGCCTAAACCCAAAAGATAGGATGCAAATAATATACAAAGGGATATTAAACAAATCCTCTTCAGAGGTGCTTATAACTGCTAGGTATCAGACACAAGAACTATTAAACAAATTAGATACTTATTAAGGAGCTTGTGGTATCAGCTGAAAGTTTGAGATTATTTACTTTGGAAAGAAATAAAGTTTTAGATTGCTTTTAAAGGGTCATATAACATACATCATGGGTGTCTAATCTCCTCTAGTTTTAGCCTAGAAGTGTTAAGGTTTTTACTCTTTTAATTTGTGGTATGGTATTGGTCTTTTGTGACCTATTGAATATTAGTTAATATTTTATCAGAAATTTCAAAAGTGAACACAGCCGAAGTAGTCACCACCCTCCTGGTGATGAGGCTTTGTACTTGTACTAGTTCTCAGTCTGTTACCAGGACCATGCTCAAAGCTTGGTGGAAGCCATCAGAGCTTGTGCCCCCTGCTGGCCAGCTTTCAAGAACCCAGAATCACTTCAACGAGGAGGAGGCATCAGAGAACTTTTTCCTAGATGCAATTTAAAATATACTACATTCTTAAGTGATTTTTTTTTGTTGTTGTTTCCCTGTGTGCTCCCTCCCCTTCCCCCCCAATTCTTACGCACAGCATTTTTTCCCCTGGGAATACATCTCCAGTTTTAAAATGGCAATCACTGATTAAATATGATTTGATGTATATAAGTTACTGTATGACTTCTCAGGAAGTTGTTCACCATTTCTGTGTATCTGGATCTGAGTAATTACTATTCCTTCACTTAGTCGTCTCTCCTCATACAGCTGCGTTGTCAGTCACACCAAACTTAGTGTTAAGGGCTCTTGAGAATTGGCGCAAGCAATTTAAGAGGGGGATGCTATATACTCTTTCCTCTTCAACTCAAAGAGTAGAATAATTTCCTCTTCATTTTTTATTTGGGTTCCTTCAAAAGACCAACCGAAGTGCCTTCCAGTGTCTGCAGATGTACCAACAGTATAACAAAGACTTGAAGCGGAAGGAATGGACAAAAGAAGAAGACCACATGCTCACACAACTAGTTGAGGAAATGAGAGTTGGAAGCCACATCCCTTATCGGAAAAGTAAGTCTGTTACTTCTCAGGTCCTCCTATTCTACTTCTCGAGGTAACACTCTGCTGTCGAATGTCTGTGGTTAGGGGGAGTCTTAAATGTTGCATCCTGACATAGTCTAATGCCTCCTTTATTTGACATAAAATGTTCCTTATGAATATTGTTCTTTTATTAAGGGAGTTCTAATAAATAAATGAAAAATGTGCATAAGCAAAACTTACATATTTTAATAAGTCATGATAATTGCATTTAGCTGTCAGTCTAGAAATATGCTTTTCAGAATTTGTTTCAAAAGACTCTTGTTTCCTAGTTGTCTACTACATGGAGGGTAGAGATTCAATGCAGTTGATCTATCGTTGGACCAAGAGCCTAAATCCCAATTTGAAAAAAGGATTCTGGACCCCAGAAGAAGATGCTGTAAGTTTGCCTATACTCTGTTCTCTATTGTCTGTACCTATCCCCTCCTCATGTTTCAGCTATACATGTATGCATCTGTGCCAGAAAAATTATTTAGGCCAATATGCTGATTCCATCCGTGATTCCAGGGGCCTTTTTGTGGCAAAGCTTGATTGTCCTCCATAAAGTTCTGCTTAGAGTGTTGTGTAAGTCAGAGATGTCAGAAACATTGCCTGTGGGCTATATGTGGCTCACAACACACTTGAGTGCAGCCCAAACCAGATTAAAATGTAATTGGGACATATTTAACAAAATAAATAGCAACACAATAAAACATAGATAATGTTTATATGTGATTTTCTAAGTCAGTGTGTGCAGGGATCCTGTTATTGGGCTGTTTCTATTTGAGTATGACACCATTGGTCTAAGTAGTTAATTCTGTCTTTGCTGCTGTTTCTGGCTTTTTAGGTCTTTTCTAAACCACTTTCCATTGATTTGAAAACTGAATTGGGTAAATTGGGAATTTGCTTGTTGATTTGTGTATTCCTGTTTACAGAAATTACTCCAAGCTGTTGCCAAATATGGAGAACGTGATTGGTTTAAAATTAGGGAAGAGGTGCCAGGTAGGAGTGATGCCCAGTGTCGAGATCGGTGAGTTGGACTGAGCTCTGTAGCAAATTCAATCTACCTGTTTTTGTTTAATTTAAAAATGTTTCAAGAGAGTAGGAAGATTTATCCAATGTGAAGTAGAGGGCCTGTGGTTGTTTGTAGCAAAGTAATTTCTTGTATAGGGTTTGTTTGTTTTTTTCCTTTTTGGTGAGGCAGTCAGGGTTAAGTGACTTGCCCAGTGTCACACAGCTAGTAAGTGTCAAGCATCTGAGGCCAGATTAGCAAAGTGATTTCTTGATAGTGTTACGGGAAGATGGCTGCCATTGGAGGCACAAGGTCGTGACATGAAAAGTTGGTCAGATGGCATTCATAAAAGTAGCCATTGCTATTTATTTTCATTTAACTTGCCTTCTTGGAACTAGATATAGAGCCAACTAAGGGACAGCTTTCTGTCTCACCTCAGAACACCAACCTTCTTGGCTCAACTCTGTTTGCTAAGGTCACCGACTGACTGAAGAGGTCATTTTTTTTGATGGAATGATTTTTGGGCAAAGTGCACTGTTCTTAATTGGATTGAGAACAGTATTTAAAGCTAACTTGGCAGTGTATTCTCAGCATTGAGCACAATGACCCTAGAACAGCTATCTCTCCTATATTTTCCCACATGAAAATTGAGTAATCATGCCTTGCTCTCCCCCTTGTCAGAGCAAATGAGGTAATCTATCTGAAACTGCTTTAAGTTTCTCCAAAGGAGTTAACTTTTTAAACCCAAGTTGTTCATGGTCTTCTTTCCTTTTCATCAGTCCATAGAAATTTGATGTGACATACATCCATTATTCTTCATCACCGTGCAGTTTGTTCCAAACTAGCCTGCTTGCTGCTCACAGTATGCAGCACTGCATCTTTCTTCTTTGTGTTTTTGCACAGGCTGTCCCTACCATGCCTAGAATATATTCTTCCTCACTTAGAATCCCTAGATTCCTTCAAAGCTAAGCTCAAATGTTGCCTCTTACAGGAAGCCTAATTTAATCTGTCCCAGTTGCTGGTGATCACCTCCTGGTAATTACTTTGTATGTGTTTTGCTTAATTCTCTATGTATGTGTTTTCTTTCCCCTTCCACAATAAAATGAATGTAAGCTTCTTGAAGACAGAGATTATTGTATGTTTGTCTTAGTACCTCTGACTCTAAATGCAATACTTGGCACATAGTAGGTGCTGGGAACTGTTGTCTCGAGACCCCCAGGTGACTCCCTTTCCTTCCTCAACGAGTCTGGTACCTGACTCATAATTTTTCTCTCCTCCCCAACTGTTGTTCTCATACCTGGGCACTTCAGCATATGTGTTGACTGTCCCTTAAATACTCTCACCACTCTTTCCATGATCTCCACCTCACCTCAGCCACGTGCAGTGACGGTCATATCCGTGATGTTGCGATCACCCACAAATACGCCATCTCCCTTATCTGACCATA